TAGGTAGGGAGTGAGGTAGGGAGTGAGTAACTAGGTAGGGAGTGAGGTAGGGAGTGAGTAACTAGGTAGGGAGTGAGGTAGGGAGTGAGTAAATATTTTGTTAACATATATGAAATCTCCCCACCCCCCCCCCTCCCCCCCCAACCCCTGTTCATCATCACTTACGAAAGTTGCCCATCCATTGTTAATAATGTTCTGTTTACCTACTCAGATTCAAGGTTTTGCRGTTCACGCAAGGGCGCATTTTGGGAAAGTCCCTGAATATCATAATCTAAGACACTGTGTGAGATCAATTATCAAACACGAGGGAGTTCAAGGGCTTTACAAAGGATTGGTGCCAAGCACCATAAAGGTTTGTCTTGCCAACATAGGTTAGCTAGCCATCAACTATATTGCTTACTAACCAACTCACAGTGAATGAAAATCTAACAGACTGACTGACTGACTGAMTGRCTGACTTTATTTGTTCTTAATTTTCAGGCAGCTGTATCACTCAGCATTACATTCTCTGCATATGAACAGTGTTTGCATTTTGTTCGACACCTTCTTCATAAAGATGCAGCCATCAAGGATCTTTCCCCTCCTGCCTCAAAGGCATAAAATATTATGATATAATATTAGAATAATATTATACATAATGATAGACCTCGTTTCCTTGTGAATAATGTTTCCCCATACCATTCCATTCTATAGAGAATAAGATTCTTCGTTGCAGTTGTATCAATTCCATATATTTCATATGTCATCTCATAAACAACTGTCAAACTAGTGAATGAAATCATTACTGGAAAACATTACAGCCAAGGTAAAGAGGTCTATATTTTTGTTATGATTTTAAATTTCCAAGTGCTTTGCAAAATTTTATACAAAGTATACTTCATCRAGAGGAATTGAAATACTTCATTTATCATTCAGTCAGTGTTATGAGAATTTTATACCCTGATCATAATCAAAATTTACAGGGTTCAAAATAATCTTTCATAAAAAGGTTTTCCATTGGAAAACCATGATTTAGGATTTAGGCGTCAAGCAAAAATCTTGATCAGCAGTATTTCAACAATAAAAGTCACCAGATTCAGATTCAGATCCAGATTAATTCTATTCTCATGAATCAGAAAATAATTGACTGAAAACTGTTTGAGAAAACTCTTTCTTTTATTCAAGAAAYACTAAAACGAGCTTGAAAAAAAAAATGTTTGGTCATCTGCTGGACAACCATCTTCTGAAATTCAATAATTGTCAAATTGAAAATTCTAGTCCTCTTTGATGACTGAACTTCGGACCCTGAAATATTCTGAATTCATGCAATGCATGCTTTTGAGTCCGAACCTTTCATTCATACAAATGCAGAAGTTTTATTTGCATTTCACACTTTTCACTTCCACTTTTATTTCACACCATTTCCATTGTTCCCACTTTCCATTTCTCATTTTTCACTTCACATTTTTCAGTTTCTGCTTTCAATTTCTACTGTCTCTACTTTCTACATCCGAACATTTCCATTTTTATTTTCCTTTCCAATTTCTAAACTACCATTGACATCTGGACTACTTTTCCCCAGTTCTGTGACATCAGAACTTTTACCGACTGCAAATTCAGTTCGTTGTTAGGGAACATTCATTTTTTGGCAGAGAGGAAAGGGGGAGAGGAAGGTGGAGGCAGAAAGATTCATAGAATACCAAAACCGCTGACAAAACCTTCTCTTCATAGTTGAAAATTTGGTCTCCCATGCTTGTGAAAGGTGAATACACTTTCTTCTCACAACCAATGTTTTTCATGACCCCTCCAAGGTCCTATAGCCTGTGTGTTGCCCGACTTTTAAAAAATCATACCAATGTCACAGCCATACGACACACATGCTCTCTCCTTGATAAAAGAGAAACAGTCCCTTTTGATAGTTTGAGCTAGTTAAGTGAAAAGCACTATGAATATAAATACTATTATTAATACTATAATAATCCAACTACTAGCCCAATAAGGGGGAAGCGACTGGAAAGTATAAATTGTGAAATTTCCAGACAGAACTGTATCTTGGGGAAAATCTATTTCATAGACAGTACAAGTTCATTAGAAATCCTCAAAATGTGATTTTCTGATATCACAAGGGTATTTATGAATGGTTTTTTATTGTAAACAATTATCAAAAACGTTATCCTTTCTACAAGTTTTGGATATATTAAATGTATATTGTGGCACAGGGTATAAAGGATGTAATGCAAATAGTTTTATATTTGGTTATGAGTTGTGATGAACTTTGAATCATAGTAAAAGTATAATTGCATACTAAATGATTTWTTTATTTATTTATATTATTATCGGGCACCATAAGAGGTTCAATAAAATCTTGACTTCAATCTCTCCCCCCCCACCATCCAGCTCTACAGCCCTTCAACACAATACAAACTGCCTCTGGGGTGTTTGACTAAAATAGTAGTATATTCCTACTATGAGAATTCGCCCACAAAGCCCTAGGCACGAATAGAATAAGATATGGGAAGAAATTGGCCCGAGGCTTCGTGAGCGAGTAGCTAATCTAAAGTCATTCATCATTCATCTCTGCGAGGAGGGGGGTGGGAGTATTTTTCCTTGACTTCTTGCTTCCTGCAAACCAGCTAAAATGTGCRAGTCCAGAGAGAACAGGAACGCTTATGTAGGAAGCGGAATGCGAGAATGCATGACACAAGCACCCTACTAGGTTCATGCCYGAAAGCATTAATGTGAAAAACTTCGTGTTTCCATAGTGAGAATARAGTTTGTATAAGCACATAGGCATATGAATTACTATGGCCAATAAAAATTAGAATCATTAGAAATATTTGAAAAGATATACATTGATATGGAACAAAATAATTTTCACAAATGAGTCAAAAATGAAGACAATTCTATTCAAACAAATAATGGATCTATGATCATACTTTTCACAATTTTTCAATATAATTTTATCCTATACATTTTGYATTCTTTTAGTTATGATAATATTTCATTACGTGGGRTCAGTACCAGYTACAAGSAAAGGGAGCTTTGGCATTGGTGGAATAAACTTGATTCTGAGTTTATCAGCCATTTCTGCCATTTCTGGGTCATCTTTCGCAAAGAACTGGACCATTTGGGTGAACTTTAGCACTCCTAAAAGATGGAACCAAATCATTCACTACCAGACTAAGCCACTTTAATGTCAAAGTTCTACAATGTTTGTCCATTTTAGAGAACATGTCATTCTCTTGAGTATTGTTTTTTTATTTACTCGAAGATAATGTCAAAACTTTAGGCAAGGAAACATTTTATTAATTAAGGCTGGTTTAGACAGTACGATTTCACCTACAACTAATCGTATACAACACACTTGCGTCTGTCATAGGAGAGTTGTAGGCTTGATTTACATGCTACAACTCGAGTTGTAGGATGGCGCGAGCATGTTGTCTACGACAGTTGTAGGTGAAAATCATACCGTCTAAACCAGCCTTTAAACAGAGACAAAGAAACAACCACAATAACTTAGGGTAGGTCGGGGTAATGTTCAGAGGTGTATCCTGGTATTAGAGAAAGGGAAGTGAAAAACTTTTGAGGGGAGTGAGCCTTTACGACTAACCGAAATAAAAGCAGGTGGCAGCTCCTTGGGCCCATACCTAAATTCGTCCATGACATTCAATAGAAAAGAATCCCTTGCAACAGTAAAGCAGCCACAGCCACTTCAGCACAACCCCAACACAGTAAAACAACTCCTGCATAGTATTACTGAATAACAAGGAGCATTTGGGGTAGGGGGGTTGGGGTRGGGTACCTTCTGTAGTATTGAAGCCATGGTTCTTGATTACTTGTTGCTGTATACTTGCTGTAGCAGGTATGATGTTCTGCATCATGTCGACCAGATCATCTCCAGCATTTTCTTGRATCATGGACAATCTTAGTTTATTCCCTGGTGTATCAAAAGCACTAAGCACTTCTTTTAGGATAACTAAAAGGTAAAATATATAAACGTATTAAAGATATATAAAAAAGTGGAATGTGCACCGTATATCAGTGGGGAGAAAAACTGCAAATAATGTACAAAATAGTGGATATTACTGGAGTACAACTTTGGGAACAAATGCAAATATGTTTAAACATCTTTTTTTGGTTCTTGTTTAAGTGAATTCATTGTGTGCTTTCCATAAGTCGAACCTATCGGATTGAGCTGCTAGTTCTGAGACATTATATGTGTCAGTTCTTAGGACTGGACCAATGTGGCCCAAACCTTTTCTAAGAACTGATGCGACTACCATTACAGAACTGGCCTATCAGACTGATGGGTTTAACTTAATAGAAATTGCCCTTAGTTAGTTGATAAATAAAAACTCTTAAGCACACTACACAGCTAGTAGTTGTCACAGATTTATGGGGTGCGCTGTACTAACATTAGGGTAAATTATTAATCAGCCATTAGGGGGTGGGAATCTTCACAGTCMATGTACAGCTATGATCCCCAAACTATATTTACCATTTGACTGAGCTCAGATTCCTCACTTATAAATTCATGGCATTGCCCAATCATGAATTTTGACAAGACAGGTCAAACTATTTCAAACAGTAGGGAAATATTCAAGAAAAAAATATCGAGAATTCAAACGTCTACAGGAGGGTCCATAAATTATTATAGCGAAGTGAACAGTGTTGAGTAGAATGGTATGAAAAGAGTAAGATTCATCAAAACAAGCCATCTCATCTTGAAAAGGATAAAATAAAAACTGATTAGTTGGAGAAGATATTCCTTTTCTTTAAAATGAACATTTAAGAACAGAAAAGTTTCCTTTARATTGTAACAATTATCTTTTGTTCGTGAAAGTCACATTTTTGTGATATCAAAAAACCTTTACATTTTGCCGATCTACTTACGTTTAATCTGTTCAGAAGTCATACTAGGTAAACGTGTTTTTTGTGCCATGATTTCAGCACAGTTTTGTATCTTTTTGTYGTCAATTGAAGCAACATTCGGTGTTAAACGTGATGTACATGTCAGAGTCGAGAACCTTCAGCCATCTTGTTTGTTATGATAGGGTCACCAGTCCCTCAGTGACGTCATCCCAGGAACCTGATTTTTTCTCGCAGTGCTGCGAAATGAGCTTGTTTTTCTGCGCCGAGGAAAGGCAAACTTGAATCTATTTTGCTGAAAAGATTCACTTGAAGTTTCTCGTCTTTTCTCTAATATATTAAAAACTAAAATCATACTAAAACAATTATTCGCCTTAGGCTCGCTCCGTGATCGATTATGGTATGTATCACCGCTTGAAGAACTTGTGGACTCGGTTGATTCACCGATAATCACTTAGCCTTTGGCGAATAATTGTTTAATATCTAGCGACAGCGACTAAAATAAATAAACATACTAACTACTTTCCCTCCCTAYCTTACCAGTCCATTCCCCATGAAATATACTCTTTTATTATCTTATTTTACCTTCAAAAACAAATTTTGCCGGTCCGCTTAGAAAAACGTTAGCAAAAGTACTGTTAACATAATCGAATGACACAACGAGTTCACCCCCCCCCCCCCCCTTCATTGAAACGACTATCGATACGCCTCTCTCGGCTACTACTAAAGTGCGTTCTTTCTTTTTCTTTCGAAAGAAAAAAGCAATAGCCGAAGCTGTTGCTCCCGTTCCACATGCAAGAGTCTCGGCMTCAACACCTCTTTCGTATGTAAAAACTTTTATACGATAATTGGATGTGTCGTTTTGTGATGCGTTAATTCGCGTGACACTATCTTGCGTGACTAGTGTTTGCTATTCTTCTACAACATCTTCTGTGCTTACAAAATTAACGTTGATACCTATGTCMTTAAATTTCTCATTATATCGTATCTTTCTTGCCTCGGAGACGATATTAGTCTTATCCAGATCGCAAACAAACTGCACATAGTGAGGCACGCCTGTATGAAGTATACAACTGCCATCAGGCTCAACCTCTATCTTGTGGACAACATCCAGCATTTTGATCTCTACAAAGTTGTTGTCTGGGTCAATACGTCCTTCATGAACGCCATCTTTTGCTAAGAAAACAGCAGTATTTTTTATAATCCCAAGGTGTTTTGCTAATGCAACAGCGCASCGGGCACCGTTGCCGCACATTTCCGCTTCGCTACCATCGGCGTTAAAATAMACCATCTGGAAATCAAAATCATGGTGGTTCTGAATTAAAATAATTCCATCTGCGCCGATCCCATAATGTCGGTGACACAGCCGAGAAACACTTTGCTCCAGGCTCATTTTCTTCCAGATGTTCTTGCGGTTATCRACTAAAATGAAGTCATTTCCAGCGCCTTGGTATTTGAAGAAATGAAGCGRACTTTTATCCAACTCGTCGGCCATTTTTGACGTTTACTTAGTATTTCTTTACCGCTACCATGAGTGATGGCTGTGACCGTCTTGCAATTCTTGTGTGCTCACAAACAAGCGATAGCTCTGTCGAAGGAAAGAAAAAATACTAGTTTATCATATTTGTTTAGTTATCTGAGGTGAAGATAGAAGCGGAGGCTTAGTAAAAAGGCCGGAATATCCCTCTCGCCGTACCTCCCCGCCCACAGGCTTTCAGCAACCTTAAACCTGTCTTTTGTTCGGCACGCATGACGTGAAACCAATCCTTAGAGGGGGAGGCGAATGTGAAAAAACATGAGTAACTTACGGAGTTTGACCCTCATTTGGGTTATCGGAAGCCAGACAAGAAGCACGGAAGCAATAGGAAGCCATTGCAGCGTTATGGAATGACGCATTGCGGAGCCGGGAAACCATTTCAAAACAAAAATGGAAAGCCATTTGGGCGTACGCTCTCTATGCAGTTCAAAATTCATTTCAGTACAAAAACCTAGAATTTACTAGACAGCCATGAAAATCTAGAATAATCAAAGGTTAGATTTTTAAAATTCAAAATGGAATTCCGGATTTCATTAACAAAARAATTATCCAAATTGTCGGTGATCATTGTTAAATTCGCCGTTAATTTCAATATTCTAAAAATCTCTGCGGTACTGTTTGATCCTGTTCAGGACATATCAAGGATATTACATGTTTGATGTAAGATAAAGAACTTTTGTTCACAAACGAAGATAACAGATATCTTAAGAGTAGTGACCAATATTATTTATTTATTAAACAATCTGATATTTTGCACGAATAAATCTGTCTAAAAAATCCGAATTTACGTGTTTTTTGTTTTGTTTTTTGTTTTTGTTTTTGTTTTTGTTTTTGTTTTTGTTTTTGTTTTTTGTTTTGTTTTTTGTTTTTTGAGGTTATCATCTTAATTTACTATCTTTATAGACTATATAAGCTTGATTTTTCCCACCTTTGTTTATTGTTAATGTTTGAATATGTTAGAATACGGCGAGGGAAATGTCCCAGGCTACAGCAATAATACTTTATGATAATATTCTAGCGTTCAAACTCATCCGAAAGAAAAGTTCCAAACACTTGAAACCCCTATAAGATCATTTTTTACAAAAAAATTGAAACTTAAATCCAAGATAATTATTTGAAATTTAAAACGCATGAATCCTAGACATGACTCGGGGAAAACATTGATTTTTTTTTTTTTTTATTATTATTTTTCGTTTAAAATTTAAATAACTGCCACAAGTTTCACACGTCAATTCAGGTAGTCAGCTGGTTAGTAGAATAGACGTCAGCGTTCAAAATTCCAGGAAATAAGAATAGGGGAAAAACAGCAAAATTCTTAGAAAAAATTTCCCCTTGTATGATCGTCTATAAATAACTAAACAAAACCATTTCCGGTTTGAACGCGTATGAGATCGAGGCTATTTCCGGTTCGAAGAGCATAAAAACGCAGACGGACATGTTTTCTCTCAGTTCAAGAAACGTGTTGGTCATGGCAAGGTATGCTGACTTCATGCAAAATTACGAAGCAATAATCAGCTAAAATCCCAATAACAACCTTAGATATCCCTCAACCAATGATCTAGGCTGCAATGTATGCTATTATAATGTGTGATGATGTCCTTTTTGAATGAATTTTTCAGCTCTTCCGGACAGAAATGTTSTGTGTCTTGTCGACATCATCCAGATGCACCTTTGATAGAAGACTACAGAGCAGGCGATATGATCTGCTCTGAATGTGGCCTCGTAGTCGGAGATAGGTTAGTTTAAACCCTAATCTTTTACATGATATGTATTTATTATTATGYCTGTATTGGGATGCTGGAACGACTAACAAAAAAGCATAAAAAATCCATCCTTTTCATCAATGTTTTCTTGTGTCTCCATTGTTGTGGACCACAATCTGTAAACACGAGCATCTTAGCTCGTTTTTATAAACAATACACTACATATATACACTTTCTAGCTCTAATACCTTGGTATACACTTACATATRATTTCATTAAGCTATAACTGACATAGGTTTATAATATCTAAGGGCAGTTTACTGTACGTAGTTGTCGTGGCTGACGAGGCTGATTTGCCACGTACATTCATGTTTATTCAATATTTAACTCACCTTTTAGAAGACAAATTTCACTGAATTTCTACCCATCTGTTCCTTCTGCCTAGATAATAAGCCTTAAATTCCTGTATATATTTAACTAAATTCACGAAATTTGGGATAGGAAAGGCTTCATAAAGGCTTATAGTAAAATCTGCGCAAACTCGAGCGAGGGGTTCTGGGTATGAGATCACCGAGGCCTGCAGAMGCCAAGCAGAATATGTATATTATTGAACAGGTGCTTTAATTGGGGGTATTGCCTGTATATATTTAACTAAATTCACGAAATTTGGGATAGAAAAGGCTTCAGAAAGGTTTATAGTAAAATCTGCGCAAACTCGAGCGAGGGGTTCTGGGTATGAGATCACCGAGGCCTGCAGAAGCCAAGCAGAATATGTATATTATTGAACAGGTGCTTTAATTGGGGGTGTTGCGTGAAACATGATCAAGGGTATTTATGCTTTGAGATGAGTGATCTTAAAAAATCAAAGATTGTGAATAACATGTTTGTCAGAGCCTATACAACTTTATAAGAGTTTTTAGGTGGGCTTGTAATTATTAGTGAGGGTATTAAGCATGGGGTTGATAAAAGGGATGTGGGTGGGGAGGAGGGGGGGCAACGTCTGGCAGTGTTTTTTTCAAGAGCCAACTTTCTATTTTATGGTTGAGTGATCCAGCACAAAAGAATCCAAGTCCATGCTACATACATACGTGCATACATAAACTATTGTTTGCTCAGAAATTGTTTTGTGTTTGACCACTTAGCAAGAATATCAAATGTTGAGTATTGAACAACAATGTCTAAGCAGAAATAATATTAAAAGCTTTAAAACATGGATATACTCATAAGAACTATAATTAGAGCAAATTGCCGTTTTGCTATGTGGCTGCACATGAGTACTCCATCGATGGAGGGTGCCTATAACCGGGAAGGGCTTATAATTAGTGGAGCTTATAACCAGGATTAAGATCTATCTTGTGCACAACAACAACAACAATCGTGTTTATTTAGTACCTGCTGTGCTATAWAATACTTACAAGTGAAAATAAATACAATGTATTAAAAACCTAAATAAAGTTACATGCTATCTATAATAACCACAAGGGCTAGCCGAGGGCTAGCTACACCCAAGGTTACCATATTTACTGGTTTAACCACTGCCCCTAAGCAGTGCACCTAAGACCAGAATTATTTATAGGCTCCTCAAAAAAGTGCTACCCCTAATCAATGCCTCATGTGAAAACCCAAAAATAACATTTCGTCATTCATTTGGCCCTCAACATTACCTTTAATTCTGTACATTTTGTTTCAGAGTCGTTGACGTTGGCTCGGAGTGGCGTACATTTAGTAATGAAAAAGCTACTAGTGATCCTTCCCGTGTTGGTTCAGCTCAGGTAAGAAATTTTTTCTTAGGGGAGGGGAGGGGAGGGGAGGGCTTGACTTTGGATTGTTGTGGATTAAAGGTAATGTGCTTCATACTTCATTTAACCAGTAGAAGAAAAAAATGGGTATACTACCAAAAATATATGCATAGCCCATTAGCCCATTTTTAAATGAATGGAGAAATGGGAAAATATTTCCTTCCCTTCATCATTGAAACTATTTTTTCTCTATGAATTGCCTTCCTCCCTACATTGGCCTCCCCCTTCCCCTTGCTCATCCWCCCTGGTTCTTTATAAGCAATCAAATTTGCCCATATTGAAGTTCAGTAGTGAGATACCTTTAACATGATTTTAAAATGTTGGTTATAAAATTTAATCCCTCCTATTCCAACTATGTCACTCCATTCCATCCTCTATCCATCCCAATCAACACGTGTCACCTCCATCAGTGCTTCCTATTCCATCCATTCTATCCATCTATCAATCCATCTATCCCTTTTATCAGCCCATCTTTTCATCTCATTCCATCTTTCCATCCACCCATCCTTTTGTTAATGAATTCAAAAGTGGGACTACTTTCACAGAAATTCCATATGTTGACGATGGGATTTCATTCATTAAAAGGCATTTTAACCTTTTTCTCTGTGTCTGAGCTCAAAACGACCAGATGTAGCCAAAAACCTAGTATTTGATTTCTGAAAATTTCAATAAACTAAACATTAAAGCAGACTAAAAAATACCTGTCAGTAGGAAATAGCAATCTCACAGTTGATAAATTCAATTTGAGCCCAAAATGGGTCTAATATGAAGAAAACTCAGATTACAGAAGCATGTATTGTATTCTTAATGAACACAAACTGAAATGACAAAATTTAAATCAGACAATTAAGCCGTAAGGAAATGGTCCTTTAAAAAGTTTCCTGGGTCTAATGAGGTTATTTTTATGCACAATATATCTTGCAATATCTTAATTACTTAATTAGTTAGTGAATAATCCAGCATTAATTGGAATTCCTTGAAATTTGTTTCCTGTTTGTCTACTGATAAATTAAATTAAACCAAAAGGGAACCATATTCAGTGATAAGATTTTTTTTTACATATTTTGGGGAAATGTTGAGCAATTTACACGCAGATAACTGACGTTAATGTTTGTATTTCAGAGTTYTTATGTTTTTTTACCATCAAAAAAAAGTCCTAATTCAAGATTTTTTCGCGTTGATTGGCTTGGATTTTCAACACAATTTTTATTCAGCTCCAATTAAGACTACGACTTTCACTAGTGTTGTACTAGATACCTTATTTTTAGTTGTAAAAAAAATTGTACAAATCTAGAGGAATTTTGTTTAAAGCAACCGCCGCAAACTCCTTTTATTTTCTGTTTAGATAGATAGCCCCCCCCCCCCCCCCCTCCCCGTGCCTCTTATTTTCGTTTACTAGCTTACATTGGCAAGAAAATACTGACAATGAAGAGTTGGTCGAAAAATTCTCAGTCCATGGTTTTTATTTCAAGCGATTTTTCTTGCAGTTCAGTACAGCGCATAATCGACTATTTCTCAAAGTATTCTAAAAAACGTGATAAAAAGGGAGTTTATTATAACCATCTTAAAAAAGATACTTGCCACTTTTATCGCAAAACGGCCGTTTTTTACCCAAAAGCAATTTTTGCCTATCATTAAGCAAAGAACATAACCATTCAAATAATGTTATGGACAGTACTGTACTTTCAAGCAATTTTTAAGGGAATTTATTCCTGAAAAGCTAAAATTTATATATTTTCAGACCTAATTTTCCCTTCTGAAAAAAAAATAATAATAATGATTATGATAAATTTGATAATTGAAAACCTACGCGTCTCGTGTTTGAGTATGTTGTCGTAATGTTTATGATTTATATCTGGCCGCGGCGCGGTGTTATTTAATGATAACTAATGGTATTATATATCCACCCATCTAATATATTTTCAAGGCATTTGTATCGGTCGAAGACGCCCTTCGCCCAAGACATGCTAAGAAATCGGAAACTTCAAGGAAAAATGTTTAATTTTTTTTGTCAACTTAAAAATAATATATCTTACCGTCTTCCATCGCCCTCAGAAGTATAATTCTTTGAGTTTTTTTTTTCTTTAGTACTGAAATCGGAAGTTCATTTATAATAATCGTTCCTTTTCTTGCAGAATCCGTTACTTAGTGGAGGGGATTTGTCAACGTTAATAGAAAAACCTGTTCCTGGGAATTACGAAATGGATGGTTTTGCTAGGAATCATAACAGTCGAAGTGGGGTAAGTTACAGCGTCCGATATGCTGTGTGCCAAAAGTCTAATTAACTAGATCGCCGTTAGTTGTCACTCCGACTCGTAAAAAAAAAATACAAATGCGATGTTTTGTTAACGCAGCTGAAACTTATTCAAATCCTAACATTTTGGTTGGCAAGGCGCAAATTTGCGTAAAGTCTCGACAATACTGATTGAAGGCACGGACAGAATGTTGTGCGACAATCCCTGGAAGACTCACAGTCTGTGCGCAAACTAGATTAGTTTCTTATTGAAATTTGTTTTTGCTTTAAAGATCAGTGGAGCTGATAGAAGCTTAATGAATGCTTTCAGAGAAATAAGTGTTATGGCCGATAGAATAAACCTACCTAGAAAAATTGTGGTAAGTATAAAAATAATAAACAAACCTCTATGCTCTATCTCTACGTTCGTTTATTCTCTGAGTCTCAGAAGAGCGTCTCATTGTTTTTTGTTTTTTTTTTCTTTTTGTTTTAATCAGAAGGACTTCCAAATCACTTAGCTTTTGGATTCCTGTGTTCTTGAACCTCACTTCATGCTCCCCTCTAATGTTTAAGGGTTGCCTGTGGTCTTGATCTTTAATGTGGGTTGTCTGTGGTCTCGATGTTCGATGGTAACGTTTAGTGTGGGTTGCCTGTGGTTAAGCTTTTTGATAGTTGCCTTTAGTGTAGGTTGCCTGTGGTCTCGAAGTTCGATGGTTACCTTGAGTTTAGGCTGCCTGTGGATGTATTTTTGTATTTACAAATAGTATTTATTTTTATTCTAGGACCGAGCTAATCAGTTATTTAAACAAGTACACGAACAAAGGAGTCTTAAAGGCCGAAGTAATGACGCCATAGCAGCAGCGTGTCTATATATAGCTTGTAGGCAAGAGGGCGTTCCCAGAACATTAAAAGGTGAGGACTCTACCCCCCACCATCCTCCGCAGGCATCTCCTTGGCTCTTTTTTGCTCTTTCGACTTCCTGTGGCGAGGAAGAAAGATACTCCTCCTCATCTCTCGTTCCTAGTTCTTCTCTACCATAAAATTTAACACAGGGATCCCAACAGAAAATATATGGGGTAGCCTGCGGAAGAGGCTATCTACCCCCAATGTCTAATTAATGTCTAATTTCTTTGGAATTTTTTTGAGATAACCGTTCCAGATAGTCGCTCCAGTGTCTCTCCGTTCATCTTCTTCAGGAAGCCCACTATTTGTTTGATACTCGTAACTTCAAAATTCACGTTATTTCGATAGACCTTATAGCAAACACGTTGCATTTTGATCTAGTTTGGGTACAAACATGTTTTGTTCATTTTCCGTATATGGCGTTTGTTGTATCCAAGCTAGACCAGAGTGYATCATGTTTCTCGAAAAAGGCCTATATTGTTTCCCGCTCTTTAAATTTCACTCATCATGGTGCGATATTTTCTCTTCACAGAAATATGTGCTATAAGTAAAACCTCCAAGAAAGAAATCGGCCGATGCTTCAAGCTTATCTTAAAACATCTCGAAACCAGTGTAGATCTTATTACATCCGGCGATTTTATGGTAAGTAAATTATCCAAGGAGCATAGTAGATGTTGCGTGACTGTAAAGGTCACGACATAGTCACGGAGCGGGAAAACCTTTAGCAAGGTACTGCTCATCAAAAGAAAATGCTTGGACACGGCCGGACCGTCACGGTAACGGCACAGTACTGCCGTGGCGTAAGKTTTTCTAGAGTTATTCAAAAATATTTACCTATGAAAAAATCTCACCTGTCGACCCTCGTCGTGGCTTGTTAAGCCGGTATAACGCATGAACGAGCAGTTAGCTCGAACATTGTGGTTTAATCTACGGGTACCGGCATTAGGGTCTTGACCTTGCCGTTCCTTTATTTTCACTCTCACGCAAACTAAACGAATGCAGATTTTCTGTGTTCGTGTTACTACTGTGGTACGTACGTAAATATAGCCTTCTGGGCGCGGTTCTTGGCTTTTGCCGTTAAGTGCCACCGCAATCTATTTAACACAATTGTTGATTTTTTTTCAGTCTCGATTCTGTTCAAATCTTACTCTTCCGACAGTCGTTCAAAGAGCAGCAACACACATAGCACGCAAAGCAGTGGATTTAGATTTAGTACCAGGGTAAGGAAAAAACGTATAATTTACAACTATCACTCCCCKTAAGGTTCGCTCTACACGCACTCGACGCTTGTTTAAACTCCTTGTTGCAAGGGAGATATAAGGATAAATACTAAGTTGCCAATGAAAATGATAATAAGGCGTCCTCTGATTAGTTGGTAGACCTGCGATTATTATTATGAACAATAATGATTATATGGTGCAAACTCATAAGTTAATAGTCGCTTTTTACTGTCTCGCTGTTTTCATGTAAGGAGCACATTGATTGTTTAATAGGCGAACTTCGATTAAATACTTCAACACTACACAAGATCACTGCCTGATTGATGCGCACTYTATTTAATTGCTATAGCAACATCATTCTGAGTACTATTTTCTATTCCGTAGTCGCAGTCCCATCTCGATAGCAGCGGCGGCTATTTACATGGCGTCACAAGCATCAGAAGAAAAGCGATCTCAAAAAGGTATGCATTTTATTTTAATAAAAAAAATTAAAAATTAAAATCTCTAGAGCTACAATATTCTTGCCTTTGAAAAATCTCTTGCCCTTCTTTTTCTTTTTACTGAGAACCGCTCGAACCAGGATATTCCTTAGTCCTTGCGATTCCCAGTGATCATGCAAAACATGAATCTTAAATTTTAGCCTGCGCTCACTATGCAAGTGACAAGGACATCGGATTGCGTGACAGATTGCGTGATGAATTAACGCCAAACATTTTGTGACGAAATTTCTTATAAATTGCATTTTTCAGATATTGGCGATATCGCTGGCGTAGCAGACGTCACCATTAGACAATCATACCGTCTTCTTTTCCCGCGGGCACGGGAGCTTTTTCCAGTCGATTTCACCTTCTTTACGCCTCTGGAGAGGTTACCAAGCTCTTGATAACTTTTTCGACTTAGTGCGCATGATCAGACTTCCGATTCCTTCTCGTACCCAGAGCCCCCCGAGGAGCTTTAGTTACAAGAATGACTTCTGATCCACAAAAAAACATGAACGATAAAACCTATTAACTTTATTATATGTCCTTACATTCATTACTCTGATTATTGATTCTCTCATATTAGTATTTTACTATAGTCTCGTTCCCATACTCTCTCAATCTCTTCAGACGAATGAGCCTGGGTACGAAGCGACGTTATTGTATTATACAGTCAATGTTTTACTTCGATTGCATTAGCATATTATCTTTAGGAAAACCATTTTTTCATTTTTTCGATGAACTGAAAATAGAAATATATGTTGTACAAATATTTACTTCATTTATTAAAATATTTTAAATTGATTCACGATTTTTATCAAGTTTGTTTAAATATTGTTCGTTTAGAAATTTGTCCTCATTATTTTCTTAATCGTTCGTTCGTTCGTTGCCATGGTAACGATACTAATTTCTGAGTCGATGGGGTGGTGTCACTTCTGAAGAGTTAACACAAACATTTACCTAATTCTTTACTTGAAAAACCAGTCGACCACTGTTGCGTAGGAAGCATAAAATTAGAAGCCAAATTTAGCAAAGTATTGGTTSTCAGTCACAATCCAAATCAATCTTCTCGTTTTTTTCATTCCCATTTAACACCCTTTCATTCATCSTCGGGAAATCTCTAAATATCGGTTTTCCATTTACACCTACTTGCAAGAAGGTTGTCATACRATTATAGAACATTTGTAATTTAGTAAATTAGTGATTTAGTAAATTTAGCGATTAGGAATAAATTATCACTGACGTCAGACTAACTACTAACATATCAGAAACGCCAGGCAGCGCTAGAATTCGTAGTTTTAGTTACGTTATAGTTTTCCCAGTCTGAAGTAAATTCTTTTATTATTGATATTATTTATTAACCTATTTATTTACTCCATGATAGCCACAATGTTACAAGAGCAGAAAAGTACAAAAACAAATACTGATCTTATTTTTTATCTATTCATTTTCGTTTTATCTTTGAAAGTACATCTTCATCTGCATGCCTGTTACATCATGTCGTCCAAAAATATTTTTTTCTTACTGATGAATTCGAGTCTGACGTCAGTGATGATTTATTCCTAATCGGTACATTTACTAAATCACTAATTTGCTAATAAATTACAAATGTTCCATTCTGGTATGACAACCCTCTTGCAAGTAGGTGTACCTTAAGAATTGAGTCAAAACAGGACTTGAAGTCTAGATTTATTTTTCATGTTTTGTAAGTAAATGAATGAGTGTTTGTATGCGTACGTTTTTAGGTTATCAGAAGACTTCTTTCTGTTCTTCCTTACTATATCTTTCGTTTCTTATTTAGTCTACAATCTATTCCTTGTACAATTTTGCTCTATTGTTATTGTCCCTTGGACAATAATTCCCGTTCTTTTATCCTTCATTCAATTCATTACAAGTAAACCTCTTCAATGCTCTATGCCTTCTTCTAGACTTCTTTCTATTCTTCCTTACTATATCTTTCGTTTCTTATTTAGTCTAC